ATGATACTTTTGGAATTTTACTATGAGGATGTATTTCACAAAATTGAGGGCTTTACACTAGATATTAAAAAAAAACAAAAACAAGCAAAACCACTTGTAGAAAACACATTTGTGTAATTGGACTTTTGACTCAAAACCTCACTGTTCCTGAGATATAGTTACTGAGCTGGTGGACTCATAACACACACTGGCAAATCCGCTATGAAAATTTCCTCCCAAGCATGTCCTTCAAGCTCATGTGCAACACAAACAAGGTGCCAGGTGATAACTACATGAGGTTGCATGGAGAGTTATTTGTTAGAAACTCCTGCTCCTCTGTGCATCACCCTCTGATAGCTGAAAAGAGAAAAGGTGCTTTTTATTTTCTTCTTTGTGGTAAAAGTGTTAACGCAGATGCAGAGAGGAGCTGTGAAACTAACTGCTCTACGTCACGTATCCCTTCCCACGTGGAGCATTAGTGGGACACTCCAAGGAAAATGGAGAGAAGGGTCATATGTGTGGAAAGCATGGAGGGAATCCTTACAGAATTATCAACACAGCCATACCACTGAATAACCACATTAATGTGCCCTAAAATATGGGGCTTTCCCACACTTCCCCCTCTCAAAGACCTGCCCTTTGATGTTACAGCACAAGTGCTCTTTGAACATAGCACTCTCTAAAGGTTTCTACAGAGAGCACCTGCTAGTCACAGATTTGCAGTGCATGTGAATCTACACCTGTTTGATGACTATGACAATTTTACAATTCAGACGACTTTTTTTTTTTTTGGTAAACAAACATGAAACACAAAATGTTGGTAAATAAATCTAAAACACAACTCTAGCTCATGAAATCACGGTGAAATAAAAACTTAAATGTCGACTTATGTATGCTTTCAGATTTTTGAGGATTCATTTTTTTTATTTTTTATTCCTTCAACAATCAATTTCGTGCCTACTCTGCTAAGACAATAGAGAGCTTTTTCAGTCAAGATTATTGAAATAACAGTTAACCTAAAAATTTAAATGGACAATCTTTAATCACCGTCATGTGTTTTCCAACTTTCCTTGCCAGAATACAATGAAAGTGAATGGGGACAGATAGCGGTAAGCTCCAAAACGACAAAAAGCAACATAAAATATTGTAAAAGTGTGACCTGTATGCTATATTACAAGACCTCTTAAGTCATCTGGTAGCTTTGTGTGAGAAACAGACTGACATATTAATCATTTACTGATAATTCCATTGCCACAGCTTTCTAATTCTCTTTCGCTTATATTAAAATATGACACATGAAGCAAATTTACATCAAGTTTCATGTCAGTAATGCCACTCTCCATTGGATCTCATAATCAGTTGTGACAATTCAAGTTTGAATTAGTGAAAAATACGATTTGAGATTTAGAGGGCAAGATTTTCGTTAAAAAAATGATCTGGTCTCTTCATAAGACTTGGAGTGGATTAGACTTGGATGAACTTCATATAATGAACATAATCTTTATTTGTGTTTTGAAGATGAACAAAAGACTGGGCTTGGAATGACATGAGGGTGGGTAAATATTATCATTTTCATTTTTAGTTACATTACAGCTTCACAAGACTTAAAATATAGCACACAAGTTGTATGGACTACTTTTATAATACCTTTTATGGCGTTTTAAGTCATTTTTCGAGCTCAACAGTGTTCATCACCATTCAAAGAAGTATCAAGATTCATCCTACCATCTCCTTTTATGGTCCATGAAAGAAAGAATGTATGACAGATTTGCTTTTTCAAGTACACTATTATCTAATTCAATTCAAGTTTATTTGTATAGCGCTTTTCACGATACAAACTTATAGCAAAGTTTGGTAGTTCTGTATGTTGTTTCATGGTTGGCATCATAATGTTATTATTAACATTAGTTATCTAGTGTTTTCTAGTGGTCATTTCTCCACTCCCTGATGTCATTTACACGATAACACCTTGTTCATAGCAGAAAACTCCAGAAATGTTGTTTGTTGCTATCACTGAACACGGACGCTAATGTTAATGTCAAAGGTATTTTACGTTTATGCAGGGACCTTTCAGTACCTACATATAGACCCAAATCACCGCACATAAATGTCATGTCGCCCCACAACTACAAAACAGGACCTGATAAATATCACTTCATGTTGACACACAATGCATCACTACATCAGAAACCACAAATAAGGCCCGAGGACTCAGATCCTCAGCGAAATCGAGGAAGACATGATGAGCAAAGCGTTTCCATTGCATTTCCTTAATTAGGCAACAACAGAATGAGGAATTACTTCATGGAAGAGTGGGTGAGCCCCATGGTGCAATCCTCTGAGCAATTCTCCCATGTTGTACATGTATATACCTGCTATTATTGTAGCAATAATTTCAAAACATGGCAAAAAGCAGCATGAATGGGATGACTCACTCTGATCAAATAAATATGATACTGTGAGTAACAGAGGAATGAGTTAATACACTTTCTTTAGGGTTTGGCAGAAGTTTGTGCAGAAGCGGAAAAAAGAGGTGGAGCAATATCAGGCTACTGTGGCCTCATACTTCATTTCCTTTCTCAGCCATTATAGAGAAGAAGGAAATTAGATAGGCCTATGGCATTGCTGCACAGACGATTTAAGACAGCAGCATAAACCACATTAACACCCAATATAATTATAGAATAATTCATTAGAACCACTGATCTATAATAAATGTATAAATAGATATATAGAGATGGAACCAGCACTGAAATAGATTTTGGTTTAACACATCATTAATAATAATAATAATAATAATAATAATAATAAAATGTCAATTAAGAAAAATAAAATATAAAGTATAATACAAATATATTCATTTTTGGTCAAGAGGTCATATTTCCAAATAATGCAACTGTCAGTTCCACATTCACACAGAAGCAGAATACAGTTGCCAGTATTGTATAAGAATGCTTAACCCTATAAACCCTACCGTATCAGATTTGAAGCATGAGTTGCTGAAAAACCTGTTGAACACAATCCTCTACATGACTTCTGCCATCTGATTAGCACTCCTTTTTTTAGCAAGTAAAAGGCATTTTATGTGTAATCCTAATATTACTGGGAAATGTAGAGTTACAACAATAGGCCTAATATTTGTGCATTTTATAGGTAGTGTTTTATAATTAAAAAAAAGTCATTGATTTACATCACAAGCTAGGATCTTATACATTTTGGTCATTTAACTAATAACATTTGCACAGACTATTTTTGCTGAGTTTGGGCCTCTGAATAAAACTGATGTATTTCTTTCCTCCTCAAGTAGGCTATCTCATAAACCATGTTTTAGATTTTCTTTTATATTCGATAAAATATTCCATTTAAAAAAAAATATATTTTTTTCTTACTGTTATTTTATGCGTAAGGCTTTACATGGTTGATACGATTACGTTCACATAGCTACAGTTCTTACATTTAATCGAATTAATTAATTAATTAATTAAATTTTTAGGACTCACACATGTCTGTCGCATGTTTTTGCAGTAGCCCCTCACTGCAGTACCGTTTTTGTGGGGTTTCGGTAACTTACAGAGACGGACATTTAGATCCAGTCATTGCTTTCCTGGAGGTTTTTGTGATTTGCTCGTGAAAGGTCATTGTGTCGTGAGACTTTCCAGTGTGACGGAGGTCACCGTCTTTGGTTCCAGGTGGTCTTCAGGCTAGCGCGGGAAGAGAAACGAAGATTGACATCGAATATTCATCCGTAACTCGAATATGGAAGCTGAAGGTGAACGAGAAAGTTTAGGGGTCACATATAAAATATGGTTGTCAATCCAAAACACTAAGTGTTTCAAATTGACACACGGCTTCCAAGAAGTCAAGTCACCTTTATTTGTATAGCACTTTATACAATACAGATTGTGTCAAAACAGCTTTTCAGTGGCAAACAGGAAAAGACTGTCGATAATGCAATAACAAACAGTAATTTTTCTATTTAAAGTCAGTTCATTGATGATTCAGTGATGTCTTCATCAAGTTCAGCTCTCTTCTGATAGTGTCTGTCAAACCAACTCTGAAATTATGTAGTATTCTGAGATTACTACTTGTAAATACGACTTTGCCTGGTCATTCATGTTCGGAACTCATAATTACAACATTTCCGACTCCACTTAAGGTCTTATCTACCCATTATCACATACTACAAAGTTCTTTCCAGCTGCACCAGAAATCCAAAATTTACAAGTGGCCCAAATGATCATTATTTTTCACTTAAGAGTATTAAATAAACTTAATTTACTTTAAGGACTTTACTTTGCACGTTTGATTTGTGCTGTGTTCCCCTTTTTTCTGGTAGGGAATGCTGTGGCATGCTAAAAAAAAATAATAAAAACAATCCCACATCATATTTAATGGGGTTTTTAAGAAACCACTCAAAATTCATTCTGTATTGCAAAATGGCTCATGTGTTTCAGGACTGTGTCTTGCATCAGAAAGTTTGTATAACTGCTAAATAAAAAAATTCAAAAACACATAAATACTCTTCCACTCCAATAACAAACCTGTAGTAGCTTTTGACATGGAGGGTAAGCATGAGATCATGTTAGAAAGAGAGAGAGAGAGTGAAAAGGAGAGAGAAAACAAAAACAAGACTGAAAAGGGCAAAAGAATTTCAGGGTGTGGAATCTCCCAATAGGAAGTAAGTCAGCTGTGTGTTGTTAGGCCAGTTGGATGGGCTGGTATTACATCACCAGCCTGAAACTGAAAGTGCCCACGGCATACTAACATTAACCACACGGAGCTGGTTTATCGGGCTTTATTGCAAAATTAGAGAGAATGCACATAAATCTAAATTTCATGTCATTTCTAATTTAAAAGTACATTGAGTTAACTAATGATCTGTTGAGCATAATATGAATGCAATATAAGATGAATTAAACTGATAAAGTGAACCAGACAACAAACAAAAGCTTCGTTTTTACTGTAAGCGTAATAATTTTTTGAAAGTGTAAAGAGGATGTGTAATACTACTATTTGGCTTGCAGAGTGTGAGGGTGTGAATGTGTGAGCGCTGTGTCTGGAGGTTATATGTGGGTGGAAAGTTGGTGTTTGAGAGCTGAGGGTGTTCTTTCCCTTTTCAAACCAACCTCTGTTCCTCAAGCTGGTTGCATACTGACATCACTGGAGTTTCCCCTATCTTTAGTATATATCCACATACACTGTATGGCGAGTAGACAACTTCAGTTCAAAAGCTTGCACAAAAAGGAACACATCTCAGAGAACTAACAGCATGGTGAAATACGAAACGACATTAGTAGATCTGGAAGCCAGCGCAGGGGGAGTTTATCAGACAACGGTGGCATCTTTACCAGTAAAGTCCTCCAGCAGCTGGATATGGAAGACAGTCGCTGCTATCACTTTTGTCACCCTCTGTGCTGTGGCAGCTGCTTTCTTCGCCTGGCATGTGATGGTAAGACTGAAACTTTAGTGTGGGATGATAATATTATTCAAGTACATAACAGTGTGACCTAATTTGAAATGAGCCTTTGATAAACAACATTTGCAATGTCTTTTTTACAGAAACTGAACCAAAGAGAACTTCACGTGTTTTCAGACAAACAAATCAGCACACCATCAGGTAAAAAAAACATTCCCAGCTTTCTGTCTCTGTTAGCACTTTTCAAAGCTAAATTTTAGTTTTTCATCTCAATCTCATGAGAAAATGTAACTGTTTTACGAGGTGGTGATTTTGTAGACTGTAAAAAAAAAAAGAAAAAAGATTTTTTGAAGATTATATTTTACAAGAAAATACTATTTCAGTTTTTGCATTTGAAAATGTCAGTTTCAGCTCAATGTGTTATCTGAAGTTTCTTTGTAATAATTTATGAAATTTACTAGCAATTTCTGAGTAAATTAGTTTTACTTCCAAATTTTCAGTGTATGAATTCATACAATGTGATTTGTATGTAAATGTACGATTTTTGGAAAAAATAAGCATGAAGGTCTACTCCTAACCCCAAAACCTAGGGGAAGGTGGTAAGCAGATGTTAAAAAATGTTCAATTGAAATTTTACCAATTTATACAAATTAGCCACCAATTCTCTAAAATGTAAAACAGTTATGGATTGCCACGAGTGTGTTTTTTTTACTCGGTGTTCTTAAGTAAAATACTTGCTTAAAAATTATTTTACACATTAATGGGTATCTGATGTTAAAGCAAACTGTGAAACTGACTCCAATCCTCTTTTCCACAGAGCAAGGAAAAATGCTAAAGCAGATCGCTGAGAGAACAAAAGCCGCCATTCATTTACATGGTGAGTCTCAAACTGTGCCTTTGACGTTTCTCTGTGCACCGGGTTCATATACGTCATAGGTCATTTCATTTCAAGAAACTGAGTTTAGTATTTCATCTTATCAGATTCTCAAAAATCTGAGATTTATGAAAGGCGTTTGTTGGCGCAGAGCTGCTCAATGGCCTGCCACTTGTAACAAGGCTGAATGTTTCATTAAACATTAGCTAATGTGGATTTCCTAGCGTAATAGGACATCATTCAAATACAGTAATATATTTGGCTCTCGGTGGGTGTCAAGAGGTGGGAAGACTCCAGTAAACTTTCTGATTACTTTATCGCATGTTCTACTGAAGATAAAAACTGTGATCATTAACCCAAACACCCAAATTGGAAACAGGCCCATTTCTACTAGTTTATGACCTCCGATTTTAGGATTATATAGTAAATACAGTTAGATTTCATAGGAATGAGTTTGTATTAAGTTTTACCATTCTGACACTTTCGAAGTGCCTGTGGTCACATTCTCACACATTTATCTTCTCTGTTCGCAGGTGAGCATAACAGCAACTCACAGTCGGATTCACTGCAGTGGGTCAGCGGCGTGGATCAGTCGTTCGAACAGGGTGGCCTCAAGCTGGTCGGCAACGAGATTCACATTCCCGCCGACGGCCTTTACTTTGTGTACAGCCAAGTGTCCTATGCCACACAGTGCAATTTGGACGAAGCCAATGAAGATGATGCCGCTCAGAAGTTCCTTAGCCACAGCATCTGGCGTTATACAGATGCGGTGGAAGACTGGAAGCCTCTGCAGAATTCGGCCCACTCCATATGCCAATCACTTGAGGACGGGAAGACCACATACAGCACCATCTATCTCGGCGCCGTCTTTAAGCTCATGGAGGGAGATAAGCTGTCGACCAAAACCACCTATGTGGCCGACATCGAGGAAGACTATGCCAAAACATTCTTTGGAGTGTTTGCCTTGTGATTTATTAGCCACATGAGTTGTGTGGCACGGTATGAAGACAAGTGTTTTACGTTAAAACTTCCAAAGTATATTCTCAGGGCATTTGCTTTAAAGTAGTTTGTCTAATGCCGAGTCCTTATTGCATCGTGACATAATATTTTGGTTCTAAATCACACCAGATGCAGTGAGAGCCACGCGCTGAATACTATGTATTTAGGCATGAGCACTATACCAAGGGCACTACAACTCGTATACTTATTTTAAGCTAATATGATGTTTATTACCTTACGTATTTCGTTGTAGAAATAAGAAATGTTGATGTTCGAAAGAACAATGTTTTTTGTGGTATAGAGATTTATTTATAACTTTTGAGCGTATTTAATGTTTTTAATTTTATATGTCCTATTTAACTATTTATTAATGATTGTATATGCTATTATTTGTAAAATGAATGTACTGAAATTGTTTTTGACACTCATCCTGTGATTCTGACATTTTAACGGTGAATAAACCTGAAGTATCACTGTAATGCACTAGTCTCATTCCTATCAGCACTCCAAAAAGAAGAAGCAGTTTGTGACAGGTCATATGAACACAATGGGGGATTTTTGCATTCCTGTATGTGACTCGTGGTTCTTTATCCTCCTAAAGTCTGACTTCCTTTTATTTGTCAGAAATGAGGTCACTGCTTGTTTCTCTCATGAACGTTCGCTGCTTTCTCCCAGGTGTGATTCGAACAAAAGCCCAGGGCATTGAATTAACAGGATTGCATCACTCCATTGGTTACACTTGTGAAGGGTGGTGATCTCACAATTTAGTGCAACAATGTAACTGTGAATTCCAGGGGGTGCTTTGATCTAAAAGAACCCTTACTGGACAGACTCCCAACATTTTTGTCAGAATCGCCAGAAACTATTTTTTTTAAAACAAAAATTAAACAGGTTAGATTCCCTTACAGCTAAAATGTGTAGTCTTGTATTTGTGTGAAAGATCATCAGATTGAGGGTTTAGTAGACTATAGGGATCAACATAACCACAATATTCCATTGAATAGCAAATTCTAAAAACCCAACAGTGCAAGAAAGCAGCATTTAAATGAGGTGCCCCATGTTTATGAGCTTCTTTGAATAAATTGCATGCATTTCTAATTCTTCTAACATACAGTATGCAGTGTTTAAATGTTTTACAAAACCTACAATGTTTTTTTGAAAAACGTATAAAATGCAAATATAATATTTTGTACTATTATATTGTACTTATATTTTATACCTGTATATAAATAAAATGAATAAAAATAAATATAAGCACCATATATATTCACATAATATTTTTGTAAGATATATACAGTATAACATAATATAAATACAAAATTTTGTAAATATATATTGTATTTACTGTGTGTGTATGTATGTGTGTGTATATATACTGTATATTATACACACACACAGTAAGTACAATATATATTTACCAAATATTTTGTATTTATTTATATATATATATA